AATCTGTGAAGCTGTGATATTTTTATGTTTTAAAAAGAGAAAACTGTGCTACTGTGTTACTGGCTTATTAATGGATCTTGACTATCTTCAAGTTTTTTATCTGCCTATTTTAGAGAAAGTGAAGGTATTTGGGAATTGGGAGTCTAACAATTTTCTGGCAGATTGCTTTAAAATAAAGTGTCTACTGTCTGAGACTATTCTGAGAGTCAAGACAGTCTAGAGAATTCTTGGGGTTTTTCTCTTAAGCAGAGGCCAACTGGGACAGTCAAAAGTGCCCACAACATCTTTCACATCAGATTTACTATTTATTATAGGCATTCATTTCTGCATATGTAATACACATTTGTAGCGTAGGACGGGCTCAGCAGCGTGTGCTGTCTAGCATTCTTGTGATTTACCCATCTATTACCACAAAAAACTTTTGCACTTCCCATATACTAGGACCATGTGGGTATTTCACACGGCCTTCTACTGACCCCTTTATCCATATTTTTTCTGTAGATTGGATTTTAATTTTTTTTTTCATTTTAATTCAGGACAGAATCTTCTGTGTTTCTGCAAACAACTAAGAAAATCAAGTGAACATATAGTTGGAACCAGCAAGCAGAACAGGGAGTTTCATAAGGATTTTTCCAATTTTCCTTTCCAGGAAGGATGGTAAAGACAAAGATGGCAACTGGTGGCGATGGTGAAAATACTGAAATTAGCACAAGCAGTGAAGATGTTCAAGATGTAGAAAGTATGCATTCTACATCACTGTGGAACTTCTTGTTGCACTTTATTAATAGATGAAGTGTTTCAGCTGGTAGAGGTTCTAGAAGCAAAGCTCCAGGGATTGGAAATGCAACTAAAGATAATCTGAGATTTTAAGGAAGGAGAATACTGTTGTAGAGGAGAAGCTAAATTAAAGAGGGGGAGGGTTTACAATGGGGGAACATGGAAACAATATCAAAACAGGCTTTCTCGTTAAAAAAAAATCTAGGGAAAAGCAGCAGCAGCATGTGAGGAATTGCAAGGAAGAAGTAAAAGTCATTCAGTAGGAAAGAACAGAGGAAGAAGTTGCAATATTCGTCAGGAGCCAGACCCTAAGAAAAGAGTGGTGACCAATCATGTCATTGTGCAGACAGAGTAACTGGAAGAAAGAATCAACAAGTCATACCAGTATCAAGCCACAGTGCAGGATACATTACTAAAGGAAATAGGAGTGGTTATTGCATGAGATGATCTAGATGAAGGAAGGGTAGGCTGTCTTCCAGGAGCAAAGGTAGATACAAACCTGCTGCTGAGAAGTTCTGATGTGGGCCTGAAAGCAGCCACTGATTATTGTTCATTTTGGAACAAATAAGGAAATAAAATTTTCAATTGACATAAAAGTAGCTATTCTTAGCTGAGAATAGGTGAAGATTCAGCATATTTTTTATTAGAAGAAATAACGTGGAATCACATTCTGAACATTTAGTCTGTTCTCCTCAACGCCAAAGCAGAATAAACTATAACTTTTTGTAAATACACTTGAGAGGAGGGAATTTTAGGAGATGGAATAAAATTATCTTAATTAAAGGGTGATATCAGCACTGGGTGAGTATTAGAAGTCAGTCATGAATAACTCTACATTCTGAAGTAGAGTTCAAACAGGGTAGTGTGAGCAGAATATCAAAATTCACTTTAGGATCAAGTGTGCTAACCTTATGGAGGAGATACCTCTAGGAATTCTATTTTTTGAGCCTTGTCCTAAGCCCCGTTTTCTGAATTTCCGTGTATGTTGGGATATCTGAAGCTTAAAAGACAGCAAAGTCCCTTTTTGCTTTCATACTGTGGTACTTCAGTTCTTCATAGCTTCTGATGGTTTCCCTGGGGGCCACAAAGGAGTATTTGCTCTTTCTGTATAGGTACAGAACTTGATACGGAAGTCCCAGTCTTCTCTCTCTTAAAGGTTTGAGACTGGCAATATTTAAAGGCGATGTGTAGCAGAAGTGCTGGTGTTTCTAATGACTGACTTCTCCGAGTGTCTCATTGGCGCATACTGGTTGTGTTCAGAGCTGACTCTTGTGGGGGTGAAGAAGGAATATTTTCCCCCTTCATCAGGTTGAGAGGAATCTTTAGGTTCCCCTGTAGTATCAAGGATGGCCTACTTGTTAGGGTCACCTGAGGCATCCGTAGCAGTCTGGGATCTTGGTTGGGGCCTTAGGCTCAGTCTGCTAAGATCAATGAAGTTTTTCATATGTGGCACTGTAAACGCACGTAACCTACTTAAGCTACTGGGGCTATGTGAACTTCCCAGAAAACCAAGTTCAGCCTAGTCATTTTCTTGGAACGTATTTGAACTTCTGTGCTGTCACCGGGTAAAGATAGATTTGTGTGAGTGCAAAGAGTATGTTGTGTCATTAGTCTTGTTAATTTCTCATTTCTACACGGTGGGCCATGACCAAAGTAAATTTTGTTGACTATCTTGAAAATCTGCTGCAGTGGGCCATGTATTGAATCCACTGCAGGGACCTGTGTTACTGCCATGATTTTTAGCATTCTAATGGGTGCAAGCCTGATGGGATTTAGTGGGAAACAGTGATGCTGCTGTTAAAAATTACTGAGATTTCATCAGCAGGCAAGCTTTTTGGGGAGTTCCTTTAACTATTATTTTATCAAAAATAAGACAACCGTTCAGGTTTTTCTGTGTTACTCTGGATTCTGTCAGGATTAACTCTGAAGTCATACTTGGGATTTACCTTAGTATTATTCAGTAAAGAATTTGGGCTAACAGTTGGAATATTTTTTCTGCTTCTTTCAGTAAAAATAAATGAAATAAAAGGGGAGTTTGGAATATTAAAGTGGGTAGGAAATGCAACAGAAAGGATTCCAGGAGAAGAACAGTGGGTTTGATTCCCTCAGAAACAAAGGAGTGGGAATGAAGGAGGCAAAGAGGAACCACATATGTCTTTAGTTACATTCCTGTATAGTATCTATGATCAGTTTTGGAATACTGGTTGTCTATGAAGGAGACATGAAAATAAATTCAACAAAGAGACGACTATGAGAAGTAGGTGACTATGAAAAGTCCTGATGTTTCCTTGTTTTTATTTTGCTGTTCACACAACTCTCTCAATTGCTAGGTAAGACCAATCCTCAGGATTTTATCAATGAAGCCAACACCCACAAAGCTTAATGAGATCCCAGCAAGCTTAAGCTTTGAAATTCAGCTATCTTTAAGACTATACTCTGCAGTTTCTCTTTTTTTTTTTTTTCTCCTGCTGTCATCTACCCAATCAAAACCTGACAACAGCTGTACACATGTGACCTCAGTGGTCATCTAGGAGATTGTTCGTGTTTGTTTTTACCATTTAAAAGAGTAACTTTAGGTTTAGCATCGTACTTTATACTAGGAGAATCTCTAAGTATACTGCAAAATGCAGGATTCTCTGTTCTGTCATCTTCCTATTGATTTTCTGCTCAAGTATGTTATGAATTGCTTCACTGCCTACTGACACGGACCCGCTTTTGGCAGAGAATGCATTTCCCAATGATGCATAGCAATACTATAGCACAGATAAGGTATTGTCCTTGATTTTCCTAACCGAAATTTCATGAGGAAATTAGGTCAACAGAATGTAATTACCTACACTGAGATCTCCTAAGGGCACTGCGTAGAGCTGTGCAAATGACTGATTATTTTGATTTGCTTACAGAAGCAAAAAAAAATCAGAAGCAAAAATCAGTCTGAATAGAACAAAATTATTTCTTGTTCAACCTGAATTGAAACATGTTGTTGGTTCTGAGCTGCTCTTCACAGCTCATTATGAGAATTAAAATAACATTGATTTTTTATTTTTTTTTTTTTTAAATACAGATCAGTGCACGAATGCAACATTGCCATTAACCCCAACAGCTTTTGAAGAGGAAATTCCAGGCTGATTAGAGCGAGCTCTCTGGGTTCACTTCTCTTAGAACACAAAGTCCCTTTTGTACCACAGTGGGTTTCTTAGAGCGCTCTTCCAGGAGGTGACTAATGCAGCTTCAGTTACTTTTTATCTGTAAAGGAGCTGATCCTTGCCTATTTTTCTGCTCAGAGGGACAGCCTGACTTCCAGACTGGGAGCTGAAATGGGGTGTTGTAGCTGTTCTGTTCTTCACAAAGGGACAGAAGAGTCACTAAGTTTCATCCATTAAAAAAAAACCCCAAATCAAATAAAACTTTAGTTCTGATTGTTTTTATAAAGGCATTATTAGGAAGTATCTCGACTATCAAAAGAAAGCTTATTTTTTACTAGTACACAGTTTATTGAAAACATGTAATTAAAAGAGTTCTTGTGCCCAACACCAATGTATGCAATGTATGGCTAAATCCACACACCTATATCTTCTCTACAGAGAGGCAGGTGCTCCACTGGCTGGCCAGGCAATGCTTGGCTGTAGGCTGGGTCATAACAGGAGCTGGCACAAGGAACTGTAAGGTCTGCTGATCTAAGCAGTTAATGGCAGCTGGACAGGGAATGCAGAATTATGATTATGGACTCAGGCATCTGAGCTTTACCTTTCTTCTCGTTCTTACATGTTAAAGTCTGATTTTTGGATCTGGTTCTTGGCCTTTTCTCCTCAAGTCCCCATGTATAAAAGATGATCAAAGCAATTCTCATCTTTGGTATTACTGGTTGATTAAATAAATCAAAAAATGGACTGCATATGTTTTCCAATTGGAGTTGATACCGATACAAAAGTTGGACTTGGCTCGGCATGTGCTCTGCTCTTGCACATCATTTTTGAAATTTAATCCCGGCTGGAACTATAAGTAACATTTTAAAAAGCCCTGCAAAAATAAGTTTAAGAATGTGATACACTTCACATAGTAGAGTCTCTCTAGTGGTGTTAAGCTATTGCTATAGAAATTGCATTGTGGGATTTTAAGGCAATTTTTGTATTTCACAAATATTCTTTCCAAATCTTGCTGAATCCAAAAATCTCATCAGATTTCCAGCATCATCTACAGAATATCCAAGAGACACATTCTAAATGTATTCTTCTCTTTCTGCAGGCTGCTTTTCTGGAGACAGTGACCACTTTTTGGCAATTCATCAGCGAAAGAGTGGGAAACCTGTGTTTATTTATCACCATGTGCAGAGTGTGGAGAAAAGTCTGGATACAGACAGTTATAAGAATTCCAAACAAAATTTCCATTCTTCTTCCCACATGAAAATAAGCAAGCTGCACCCTGCAATAATTGTTAAATCGACCTTCCCCAGACCTGCCTACGACCCATCCCTCAACCTGTTAGCCATGACTGGTCAAGATTTGGAAGTGGAAAATCTTCCTGTTCCTGCAACGAATGTGATTGTTGTGGTAAGTGCCTTTTTTTTCTGAGTTTTGTGAATATATAGGCCTGTAAATAAACAAATATAGACATAGATTGTAATTTGGGGTATCCAAAGTTCATATTCCACTGCCTCACTGATCAGCTAAATCTAAATAATGGCCACACATCTTGAAGCTCTTCGCTTTAGTAGAACTTGTATTCATATAGCCTCAGCATGCTCAACAAGCAATCTGATGAACCAGTGCAGAATGTAGCCTCTCTGTAAGTAAAGAACTCGCCTCAAATGCCTTTAATCCTCTTGTCTTGATTGGTATTCGCGCTGCTTTTGCTGGATGGATTTTAAGCTTGTTCTGCATAGGGCACAAGAAAATGTACTTTAGGGAACAATTCAATGGAGGCAGGGAGATTTTAAAAGGCTGACGCAAAGGATTCATTCACTTCTATTTCTCCAGTGAATCCACCATTATGCTTACATAGCTGTTTGAAAACAAGCTTGCTTTTTGCAGAGAGTAAGAACTACGTTTTTGTTGGTGTACGCCATACGTGCTCCTTCTAGGACGTATGGTCTGGGACCCTCCTCTTTCAGTTAACTATGTGTGTGATCTATCCCATTCTCAGAAAAATGATGGCAGCACTCCCTCCTGCAGTGGAGGGCATGTCGGTGGAATGGTATACTGCTGCCACCCTGCTGCATCCTCACCCTTCATGCCAGGGGAGCAGCAAGCTGCCAGTAGAGCTGTCCTCTCTGGAGTGCACAGCACGGTCTGCATATGCTCTGCACAGACGCTGCTCTGCTCACCCTGGTGCGTAGGTAGCCCTGCTTGGTTATGAAGAAGAGCATTGGGCTCATCCTTCTCCTTCCTGGAGGGAAGAACAACCATTCATAATGGCTCACACACACATTAGAGTGAACTAATAAAAATTAAACTGAAACAATGTGACTAATTACAGTCAGCGGCTATTTGCTTAATTCTGTAAATTACTCTATACAGAAGATGCTAGATTAAAAGAGAATGGCCTTTACAAACAAGGAAAGAAGATGGAGCGTACAACACTGGGGCATGTTAGCACACAAAGTGTTTCAGAATCGCATATGAGTTCCTTGTACTGTTGGTACCTCTATAGATCTGCCCTCATGAATGCACCAAATGCAATAAAGGCTAGCGATGCAGGAAGGAATAATCAGGAAAAAAAAGGTAGTAATTTTATTAAGTCTAACATTAAAGTTTTAACAGTTAAAAAATAGTCAGAGAACTAGGCTCCAAAAAGCTGTGCTCTGGACTTGTTATGTCCCACATGAGCAAGACCTCCTAATCTGAGGTTAGACAGCTGGCACAGTCAGTGGACTAGATTTGGTTGTATGCAAGTGTTTGTATCAGAGCAAAATAAGGTACGGACAGCTGTGCGTCAGTGGGGACATGCCAACTGTACACAAAGTCCCAGTACTGAATAGGAGGAGGAAATGCCAAGCAAGCCGGATGCATCTATGCCCCAAGCCAGCCTAAGCTGGCTGGGTCAACTCCATAGTAAGGGTACCTGCTCTTTTTTTTCCATAGCAAGCATTATTTCAATTCCTGTGAAGCTGAAACCTTTCTGTTAGTGCAAGGAACAGAGAATATGCACGGCCCCTCATTTTTTCATTAGATGACGCTATTACCTATGGCCTGTTATTTTAGTAGAGCTTTGCAAACTTTTGGAGACCCGCAGTCCTCAACCTGCAATGGAAGAATCCTGCAAAATATTCTGGGGCTACCCTGATTTTATCTGACTGGCCCTGTGCCTGCATTGAAAGCAAAATGAGGCAGATTTTCAGTTGGCAGTTACATAAAAAAAGATCTATTAAATCTACATTAAGTTCTCATTAAGTGACCTCGGTCTGAAGCTTTGCTACTACATTTCTAGGTTGGAGCTGCTGCTCTGAAGCCTTCTGTTCTGGCTGAGAACCATATGTGCTTTAAGGGGGGGCATAACAGCATGAGCTAATCATGACATGAAAGCTGTTCGTTGCTTGGGATCTTCAGCTATCTCTGGGTTTGTTGAAGGACAGTATTTTTGGTTTGTTTTTAATGTCGTCCTTTCAGAAAAAGCCTTTGGGAAAGTACATGTTTTAAAGCCAAAGTGCTGAGAGTCAGACATCTCACTGGACTAATCCCACAATAAGAAATTTTGAAGGTCTCTTCCTCCAAAGGGCAGCTGTCCCACAGCAGGGTGGTTGCCATAATCCGTGTGCAGCCCTGCTCCTTCCAGGTCTCTGCACTTCAGTGTTTTGTTTCCCCCTCTTGAATTTCACCTTAAATAGATTGTAATGTTAACATCATTGCCAATTTGTTTTTGAACGCATGTATATAGCTCCTTCTTTGTTTTGAACTAGCACTTACTGCCTGTTGCTGCTTTCCAGTTTTTATCACATAGGGCAAGCAGCAACATTTGTTGTTTTGCCCTGGCTGACCCTTTTTGTTCCAGCCTTTAGCAATGTTGTTGGTTGCTCAACTTGAAAGGGCAATTGCTAGTGTTAATGCTTCCTGTAATCCAGTTACGTGACTAGTGCACATTGTGATTTAGTATGAAAGCCAGCAACAGGGGTTATTTTTTTAAATAAATCAATGCTCTTGTGGCTCTGCAGAGGGGAGGAAACTGAATTCAATCTAATTTCAGTGACTTGAAGTCCATTTGCTTCATGATGGAGGTGGAAAGGTAGGGTGAATGGATGCCTAATGTAGAACTATTACAAGGTTACATTTTGTGCTAAGGACTAGACCATCTGACAAGCAAAATGTTGCCAGTGCACAGCAGAGTGCTATAAAGCCAAGAATTCTGCAGGTATTGTGTCAAAAAGTGATGTTTTGTGACTATCAATAAAGAACGCATGTTAAGAAGTAATTTTACTGAACCTGGGGAAATTGTAGTGCTTGTTTGCCTAAGGTAGGAAAAGGAGAAATTTATTTTCTGGAAGTGAGTTTTATGTAACTGAAGGTTTTCCATCATGTTACCCAGTATTAAGTTCCTGTCTTTGTGTGTGTGTGTGCGTGTGTTCAGTGCACATTGTTTGTTGAGGGAAGTGAGGACAATCCAGAGCTCTTAGAAGCATTTTGACTGTTCTATAAATGCCTTAGTGCTTAACCATATGCTCTGTTTAGCTATCTCTCTAAATGACGTGAGACCAATTCATCTGAAAATTGCTTCATTAACATATGGAATTACATAATTTTTTTGTAATACTTGAGAGTTTTCTATTTGTATGGGTTTATTTTGGATCTCAGAAACTGTATACTCATCAAAAACGTATTAGAGAGTTAGTAGTGAAATGAACAAGTTCTCCACATGTTTATTTGTGTTTATTCCGAGTCTTTCCAATACTGAATGTGAACACCACCAAGGTCAAGGCAGCACAAATGGTCTGTAGATAACCACTTATGATTAAAAATGTTGCTGTCTAACACACTTGTTAAAAAAACCAAACATACATACCTACATATATGTAGTTAGGGATGAACTTGAGCGTAAAGCAGGACTTGTAAAGGTTATAGCTCAGTCTAGGTCTAAAGTGTCAGTTCGTGGGGGTGCTAAAGCTTCATCCTTTGTAACCTGATATAGTTTGGTCTGTCCAAAGTCTCTCTCAGGCATGCAAGTGTGTTGTACTAAGATTAGACCAAGATGCTTTTTTTCTCTTGTATCCTGTGAAGTGTTTCGGAAATGTAAAGGTAATAAAATTGCTCAATACATCAAGATTTTCCCTTTCACATCTTGCTACTACTATACACCTTCTTATATAAATGTGAAAATCTGTCTCTATTTCTGTTGCTTAGAAAGGTCACAGCCCTGTACAGTACCTGAAAATTCAGTGCATCTCTTCAGTCTTGTTTGGTTTACATGAGTGTTACTGGACTGAGTTGATTTAATTAGAATTTCTCTCAGCTAATGTCAATAGGACGTAAGATTCACAGACAGCCACACAGAGCTTCTCTTCGCTTTTTCCATGGCATTTTGTGTAAGGCTGAATGCCTTAGAGCCATAGCTCTGTCATACAATTGCATCTATTTTGTCACCAGAGTTTCAACGTCTACCTTCGAGCACACTGAAGAGCACAAGGGAGAGCTTTAGGTGCTGGTGCTTTGAGAGAGGATTCAGTGGAAGAGTAAAGCACATGAATGTATGTATCTATAAGTAGATATCCACATGTGAACTAGGTATTCAAGCTTCAGTATAGGCAGTGGAAATCTAGCCTATTGGTAGTCTATTAAGCTATCTAGCACATTTCTAAACAATTTCTGTATGATTAGAGAATCATAATATAATGAGAATGTTAATATAGGTCAGGGACCATATCCAATAGTCAGACTGGATCTCGTAATCCTGTTTTTGAGCTTAAAACTGACACGGGCCATTTTTTTCTCAGTTTTCTCACTGCCAGAGAACAGTACCAGATGCCTTTAATCTACCACTAGAACATAGCCTCGATGTCTGCGTCAGGGTGAGCTGAGTATCTCCCTAAGCCCAAAGGGCTGTAGTGACAAGATTTCTATTGATGATAGTGAGTGCTTAAGCACCAACTGCATGCTGACTACTTACATATTTTTATATATTCATACACACACACAGACATGTACATTTAGTGCCATCTTAATGTGGAACTGATCCCAGCTAGAATAACACATTTTATATTGAAGTAACGTGGAAATCCTTCCCAAATCTAGGCACAGTTCAAGTAGGTGGGCTGCTTCTGGGTGGCTTTGGGTAGCTGAAAACTATAAGGCTGTGAAACCACAGCAGAACTGCTTTTACACTTATGTCAAATGCATCCCACCAGTACTGCTATATCCTCTTGTCTAACTTTGCTCATACTACATATTCAGAGAAGATGCATCTCTTGCTGCTTACTGACGTGGCCTTACACATATAAGTTTATTCCTCCATCAGTTCCCCATTTCCTGATGCATCAGGTTTAATTACCAAAGTCAAGACTCTGAACTCATCAACCTTATTTTTTCTTGTATTTTATTTCATTATTTCCACCACTGTTTTTTGC